TCCTACAGTATTTTTACAGTCTTTATCTTATAGATAAAGTATCTGTTTATCATATAAAGTCTAATGTTACAACTAATCGGGGATCCCTTTAAGAGTTCGACAAGGCAAAAGATCATCAAGTATTTCTATTTTATGTAAGTGCTGTTCAAACTGTGGAAAGACGAAGTGTATTTATTCTCAATCTTGTTTCTGCATTATGAACTTAGAGGAGTCTTGCATCTGTCTGTGTAAAGAACAGGTGGGTAATGAGAAGAGGCTCTATCTGATAAAGACGAAGTTAAAAGTACCTCTAGACAAATGACCATTGTTTATGTTTACTGATGTACACGCCTGCACTCTCTGTAAACTTTTGAACCCTTGCAAGTAGAAGAGCTCAGACCTCTGCTGCCGTCTGTCATTCTTCATATTCTGAAGTATCTTGAWAAATAATTTACCCAACAGTTTTTCACATTTTGAACGAAATATTTTATTAAGTCTGCTTATTAGAGTGTGATTATCAGTAAATGAAAACAAACATTTCAACTTTAATGAACTAGTAGAAAGTTCTGGTAATGTGACACGAATTAAACAGCGTGAATAATACTGGGAGTGTGAAAACACAGCGTGTTTCTGTGTTTTTTTCTAAACCTGCATGGCTCAACAGACAGAGAGTCATATTCACATTCCAGCTAGAAGAGGTTTGGCTCAAATTCTGATAAATGAGAAGGCTTTGGGTTTTCCTCTAAATGTCTCACATGTCAAAAACACCCAGAACATGTCTGCCAGGGAAAAGACCGAAATCACTTCAGTATTGTCGGGATTCGTGAAAAGCCATGAAAATTTAGAAGTAAATTTGCTCAGTGGTTGGTTTTCTTGGCGAGACTTTGCGGAAGCGACACAAACAAAATCTGAATGTGTGAATATGTTAAATAATTTAGACAAAGGATCTTGTGTTGTTTCACAGCTTTAAAGCTAATCGTGARCTTCCTGATTAGACATCAAGAATAATTTGAAGAATTCCTTCACTTCGAAGCTAACAGAACACACACACAAAAGGATTCTGGAGCACAAAAAGGTGCTGTGTGGTGGATTCTGCAAGGTCAAACTCTCAGTGACTGGGCACTTTTTCTCCACACACACATACACACACACACACACACACACACACACAC